CCTTTGTTAATCTTATATCAATCTCTTTCAGAAAATGTGTTCTCAAATAAGTGACGCACCTTCTGTAAATACTTTAAAATATTATGTTGTTCGGAAAATAATGTCCAATTTTATAATAACCCTTTTGTGTTCTAATATGTTATTATAATAGATGCACAAAAACGTATTACCCATTCTTTACGATTAAAGTGTCGTCTTTGTTCATTTTATAACAATCCCTTTTAGACTTTAATTTCAAAAACATTAAATGCCTTCCATCTTTTTTTGTATGACTTCAAGCTTGCTAATAATTGGTTCCCAAATTCCTGCCGACATCAACAGAGCATGGTTTCAATATCAGTCCATCTCAAGAAAATTGACAAGGTGAAAAAATCTCGATAAATGTCTTCCATGTGAACTCTGCGAGTCAAAGAATTCAATTCATTAAGTGTGCTTAATGCTGAATCTGTGAAACTCGAATGATCCATTTCGTAATCGAAGTGTAACTTGTGATGAAAGATGGCTCCTTTATGAAGAATCTTAAACAATCAGCTCAATGGCTTGCTCTTGACAAAGAACACACTTTCCAAAACCAAAATTGCACCAACAGAAGATTATGGTGACAATCTGGTGGTCCACCATTGGTGTTATCTATTCCTGCTTTCTGGAATCTAACCTGGGCTTCAATGTCAGATGCTTTCTCTTATCAACTGGATGAAATGCGCATTCATTTAAGCAAAATGCAACCGTCACTGGTTAATCAATGAGGTTTAATATTGCTTCATGATAATACTCAGCTACATGTTGCCAGGGCTGACACAGCAGAAAACCACTGACTTAGGATATGAGACTTTGCTACAACCGCCATTTTTCCCTGATCTTTCCTCCATAGGATACCACATTTTCAAGCATCTTCACAAGTTTTCAAGCTAGAAGACATTCCGTCCCAAAGAAGATGCAGAAACAGCATTCTTGGTGTCGAAATATTTAGATTTTTCTTGCAAAGGCTTAAATAACTTTTTTAAATTCTTTTCTCATATATTGTTACAATAGTTGCACAAAAATACATCACTCCTTCCTGATGGCTAAAGTGACAGCTTTGTTAATTTTAGATCAATCTCTTTCAGAATTTTGTTCTCAAATATGTGACGCACCATGTGTATACATTGGAAAATGTTGTTCGCAAAACTGTGTTCTTATATATTATTATAATAGTTACCAAAAATACATTATTAATCAGAATTTAATTTAAAACATTATATCCCCCCACTTAGAACATGAAAAAAGAAGAGATTTGTTTATTTTATTTTATTTTTTTGCATGAGTTCAGGCTTTGTCATAATGATTCTAAAACTGCTGCCAATCTTAAAAGAGCCTGGAGTGAAGGATCAACTTATGATCAGAGAGTACGACGATGATTTCTGAAGTTCCGCAGTGGGGATACAAGTCTTGAAGACCATAGTAGTAGAGTACATCCTTCTTCAATTTCCAATCAACATCTAAAAACACGAGTCATATATCAATCACTTTCAGAAATTTGTTCTCAAATATGTGACGCACCCCGTGTAGACACTGAAAAATAGTATTAGGTTCTTCGGAAAATAATGAGCGATTTAAGAACAAATATTTTAATTCTGTTCTCATATGTTGTTATAACAGTTGCACAAAAATACATTACTCATCCTTGATGACTAAAGTGACCGCTTTGTTAATTTAGGATCAATCATTTTCAGAATTTTGTTCTCAAATATGTGACGCAGGAAAAAATATTAGGTTAAAAAACAAGGCAAAAAGTGGAGTAATAAAAAAAGAAGCAAAGCAGAAAGGGATTTTGTTAGATAAAGTCAGGTTTGGTTTGTTTTACGGCACATCAACCTCAATGGGTCATTTAATGCCGACAATTTTTTTTTTTCCTGGTAATACTTTTGTTTTGTCAAAAATCTATTTTTGTTAATATTTTTTCTTCAAAAATGTATAGCTGGTAATATTTTTCCAAAACGTATAGCTGATGATAATATTTTTTCAAAAAACATATAGCTGGCAACACTATTCTTTCAAAAAAAAAAAAAAAAAAAAAAAAAAAAAAAAAAACGTATAGCTGGTAATATTTTTTTCAAAAACGTACAGCTGGCAACATTATTTTTTCAAAAATGTATTATCAGAGGCTTTGCTGTTGGACGTAGTTTATCGTCATACCCAGGACAAAAAAAAAAGTAAGAAGGGGGCATTAAAAAAGAAAAAAAACAAGACAAAAAAGATTGAACATAAAAGACAGGCAGGTAGAGTGCATTAGAAAAAGACGGTAAAATAGTGGAAGATAAAAAAAAAAATGCAGAACAAAGGTGCATTAAAAAAGAAAAAAAAACAAGTCAAAAAGTTAGCTATTAAAAAAAAAAAAAGAGGCAAAGCAGAAGAGTGTGGCTGTTGATTGAAATAAGATAAAAATGGAGATGTGTTAACAAAAATAGAGTAGAAAGGGGATTCCTTAAAAAATAGCAATAAAATACAAAAAATAGAGACTATTAAAGAGAGAAAGAAGAGGCCAACCCGTTTCAGTCTCTTCATGGAAACAGAAGTTTATCATTTTCATTAGCAGCAACAAAATTCAAACACCGCAAAGGTTTTTACATATTACCATGAAAATGCACTTGATATTTTTGACAGTACCAGAAATCATTTTTGGGTTGGACAAAACAAATACAACTAGAAAAACATTTGACATTCTGTAGTTTTTAACATACCATTCGCTTTGCAAGGAGACACGCCCTTGGCTATAAATTTTCAAGAATCCACTTTGTTTTGAATGAGGAAAAAAGAATAATTAAAAGAAAGTTTCCCGAACTTATTTTATTCATTTTCTCAGATATTTTCTCAAACTTCAAAATGAATGCACCTGTCAAATATTAGAAATAAAAATATCACCCGACTGAAAAATCCCAACTTGAGTGTACATATGTTAATGTCGAAAAAAATAAAGTCAGAAAAAAGATGTGTCATTTACGCAAAACTTGCACTATGATTTTTCTGGCAAACATGGACATTTATGCCCACAAAAAAAAAAAAAAAACCGTTTCAAAAAATTTTTTGCAAGAGCAAATGAAAGAAATGTACAGAAAATGAAAATTTGAAAATTTTATAATTACAGTTACTCGTTATCTGTTTATTTAAATTTTCTTCTTCATAGGCAGTCTATAAATTTATCAGTAAAAAATTCATTTTCATATTTATTTATCTTTATTTATTTATTTTAAAATTGACAAATGATAAACATTGCATTGTATTAATTGGTTCACATTCTAAGAATGTTGCAAATATAAAATTATTTTTGTAAATAAAAAATCTTATAAATAAATAGTGTTTAATATTTTTGTCATAAATTTTCAACAAACAAAAAAAAATGATTAAATTCCCTTTCATATGTTTGGGTTTTATTAAAATTATAAAAAAAAAAGGTAAACATTATTGAAGAAGTGAAGGTATGTAAAATTGGTAATTAGTTGATGTTTAGACGATTTACAAATTTTGCTAAGTTTTGAATAAAAAGATTTCTTTTCACATTTATTTCTTTATAAAATGATAATTAACAAATCTTTACAAAAGATATATAATTTTTTTACAATCATGTAAAAAAACCTTGCTGAAGGAATGAACATAGTTAAAAAGTTAGCAGTGCTAATGAAAAAAAAAAAAAAAAAAGTCCTTTTAAAACCTTTTTTTTTGGTTTGGTTTGGTTTATGGTATATTAACCACAATGGGTTATTTAATACCGATAAGATTTTTATTGCTGGTAATATTTTTTTCTTCTTTAAAATGTATCATTGGTAATAAGTTTTTTTTTGTTTTTTTTTTTAAAAAGAAAGTATTACTGGTAATTTTTTTTTTTCCCTAAAATGTATTGCTGGTAATAATTTTTTCCTTCAAAGATTCATTGCTAGTAATAATTTTTTACAAAACGTATTACTGATATTAAAACCTATTTTTACACTTTCATAGCGTTTTGACCCCAGTCTGGGAAGGGGTCAACTATTTGCCCATAGCTGGGACCCTAATAGGTGCTACCACCACGGGTCAGGGCGGACATGGGAACACCAGCAATTAAGAGGGGGGTTCCACGCTCTTCAAAACTCCTGATCAGAAGTCTTGCTGTTGGATGTAGTTTATTGTCTTACCCAGGACGCCCTTAAATTAAGTCATTTTGAGTTAAGTCTTTTTCAAAGATACGTCGGTTTTTCTTGAATATTATATAGAAAAATAAAACTTTTGCTCGAGTTTATTTAACTTTGGCTTTTATTTAATTATTTTATTCAGAATACTATACATATCATAAATACTGTAATAAGCAAGGGGGTCTGCTTATTTGCGGTTTATAGTGTGGTCATTTCGAGTTGTTTTTCAATTTAAGTTGTGACCTCTGGCACCAATTAATGATGTAGGGTGAGGTATACCTATATATATATAAATGTTAGGGGGTTTATAATTATTTATTCAGAGTTATAACTCCTCTACAATAGTTCGAATTTTTGGCTAGATTAATCATATTATAAGAAAGATAACTGTTTTAGACATATATGTTTGAAAATTGAAATTTTCTATATTTATATCTTTGGTGAGATCTTCAAGGTAGGCAGCCATTATTCAGTAACAACTCAAGAGGATAAGAAGTTGAAAACATGTTCATAATCGAAAACCAGAAGTCACTGAAAGACATTTTCAGAGATCACCTGACATAACCTGCATAAAATAATAGTAAATACAAAATTACTACTTCACAAAAATATTTACAAATCAAGTTTACCGCCTTCAAATTGTCAAGACACTGCCTAACAGGATGTGATATTCTGACAGGCTGGTGATAGACAACAAATTTTCCCCTGATCATGTTGAAGAGGAGATGAAAAAATCCCAGTGTTTAATATCCGTCATTGTTTACTTTGAGAATGCTTTGTTGTTACTTTCATTTTTATTTTTCTCTTTTGACAAGCATAGGTAGTTATTTTTTTTTATTCCTCAAAATATAATGGCTATACTTCTTGAAAAATAGCATTTTTCTCTTGTGACTTCTGGGTGTGGGCTGCTTTCAAGACCATTGTGGAGCCAAAAAGTGATAAACCAATCATTAAGTAGAACATTCCAGACCAACCGTACATTGTTGAAACCAAACCAATAATTGGTCCTTCCAAAACTGTACCAAGGCTGCCAAATCCTGAAAACAAAAATAAAAAAAAAAAGTTCTCAAAAACAAAAAAACAGTTACTGCCTTTGTCCCACAAGACTGATTATATTTTTAAAAAAAGACACATTCTTTTTAAAATGTACTGCTATCAAGTTTAAAAAACAGAGTTATAACTTGAGCATAAAAAAACAAACATTTAAACAAAGCTGCCAGTAATTAAATAGAATAGTCTGTCCCATAATATTTGGTACATTTACATTGTTACCAATAATCAAAAGAAAAACATGTATTAATAAATATAACTAACCACATCCCATAATACTTTGGAACATTTGCATTGTTTTTCTTTGGATTATTGGCAACAATTATTAATAAATATTACTATGTCCATCCCATAATACTTTGTTTTCTTTGGATTATTGGTAACACTTATTAATAAATATTAACTCCATCCTATAATACTTTGGTATATGGTTTTATTTTTTAAAACCTAAAAATGGTGCTTCTTCTTCACTGTGTTGCAGCACCTCAGATCAAGCAATAACTGCTGTTCACAATAGGTATATTCTGTGTAGACATGTGGAGTTTAGCAGAAATGAAAACTGGCTTATTTCCATAGCCCAAAATAGATATTACTTAAGCTCCAGCAGAGCCAATCAGAATTGCCTGTGTATAAAAAGGAGCATTAAGCCTCTTTCTCTCTTTTTTTTCTCCCTCCTGACATTGATCAGGAGTCTTGGCTCTTTTCTTGTTAGTTTGGTTGTTATAGATAGATGCATATGCTAACATCTCCCAATTTCAAGCTCTCACAAGCAAGACATTAAATAATCATAATCAGTAAATGCTTTCAGATTACCAGCTAAGAACTCTCAAGACCATTTATATTAAGTCTAAACAGCCTTCTCTCTGTAAATAGAAAGCATGGCTGCTGGATCTAAATTTAATTGGTCTGTGATTTATACTGCTCATTCCCTAGAAATAATTTTTTCTCTCACACCTTTTTTAGTCGTTGTGCACATATTTTTGTCCTCAATTGGTTTTGAAGAGTGAGGAGTAATAATTAGCATTTTTTTTCTTTTTGTTATATTTTTTGATCCACCACATTATGGTGATTGTTTTTTTTTTTTTTAATCCTTGCTTACCCTCCCCTTGGCTTTTTATTCTTGTATATATTTATCTATACATTTAAAATGTGTGTTTTTTTTAAGCTTTAATAAGCAGTGGCCCTTTGACAACACCTGGTCATGCAAGTGATGCTATAATAAAATGTTGTACTCCCCAAACATTGTTTATGCATGAACAAATAACTCTCCAACTTCGACCCCAGATAATATAGATGGAACTGGTCAGGTGTTGAGTTGTGCAATGATCCTATAACCACACCCAGTCATAAGATTGAAGATTATTTATTAATATATGTATAATAAATTATTTAAATTTTCATAAAAAAATAAATAAAAATTCACTGCATTAATCACATGGGGCGTTTTGTAAACACCCAAATTTTTTAAAGTACCTGTAATTCCTAGTTGGTAACTTATTTCTTTTGCTCACTCCTAATTCTCTCCTGATTCAGTGACGTGTAGCACGCGGGATGGTGCAGTTGTAGCTTAGTTACTATGGAAGGCAGATGCCAGGGGACTACCCATTTTCGCAAATCCAACATGATTAACACAGAGGTTATACAAGATTAATTGAAATGGTTGTAAGTTTTTTAATAAAAAAAAAAAATTCAGTATTCATTGATGGATAAAAGCTGAACATTTCAGTAAAAGTCTAAAATTGAGGCCATAATTAGTGTAATTATTAATTAGCATAATTAGGCAACATAATGAGGTAGACTTTATGCTATAGTAGCACCCGAATTCGTAGTTGGCAACTGGTTTCTTTTGCTCGCTCCTAATATTCTCCTGACTCAGTGAGGACGTGGAGCCCGCAGGGTGATGCAGTTATAGCTCAGTTGCCATTGAAGGCAGACGCCAGGGGACTATACATTTTCAGAAATTCGAGGTGATTAACGCAGATTTATTCAAGATGTATCGAAATGCGGGGTGCGGGGAGTAACCATCTCAAAATATTTCTGCAAATTTTTATAATAAAAAAAAAAATTCAGTATTCAATTCATTCATTAATGGATAAGAGCTGAACATTTTGGTAAAAGTTTAGAATTGGGGGCCATAATTAACATTGTTAAAATTTCTATACATCTTTTATTGCTTTATATTTTCCAATATGCATTTTGATTTTATTTCCCAAATATATATTCACTATTCAGATATATATTCCCATTCATGCAAATGCTTCTTCATTCCTTTTTCTCTGGGAAAATGCCTATAGCAGGGGATTCTCAACAGGGGTGAGATTTGCCCCCAGTGGGTGAATTTAGGTTTTTCAGGGACGAATTGTGATCACAGTAAGTTTAGCGGGTGTAACTGAGAGAGGTATACACACACACACACACACATGAACGCACACACGCAAATATAACTTTTATTGACTGGAAATGGAAACAGTGTTTATATATCAAAGTACAATTTGGGTTAAGATGTGTGTTTACTGATGAGAAACATGATCTCAGGGCAGGAGGCAATGTTTTAAACCTGGGGTCACTAATAAACAATGGGGACGGGCGAGATACTTGGTTTTGTTTAACAGTATTTGTTTTGATTAAAAGATTGAATCAATGTTTAGATATCCCAAAGTATAATTTTGGTGAAGCGAGAAGAACTTGTGATTGAGATAAGGTAAATAATTGGAGAATAGGTTTACATGTCAAGGGATAGTTTTTTGGCACTTGTGGTAGCTGTGTGCCAGGCCGAGGGTCACTTGTGATCAGCTGATCCTTTTTCTATATTAACTTGAGATTTTGCTAATAAAGAGAGTCTGGGAAGGAGACTGTAGTCGAGAGAGTCACGAGGCTATCATCGCAGTGAGTCATGAGATTGCGGGAGAATTTTGGAGGAGAGAGAGAAGGCCGTCCCCTGTTCTGAGAAGTCTGTATGAGACGAGACTATTAGTCATAAACCTACCCCAGGCAATTCAAGACATGTTTATCACACACACCCTCCCTCTGTTGGGAATTTGCTGGATGCATTTTGTCTTTTTCTTTTCTCATTTATGTTAAATGTCTTTATTCTCCCTGTAACCTCTGTTCTGATGTTATCTTCTTATATAAAAGACGTCAATATTTCCCCCATTGTTTTTTGGCTTCTGCAGATATTATTTCTTGTTTTATTTTGCCACATTCTAAAATTTCCTAGCGCCAACTCTCACAGCTGTGACCACATCCCCAGTCAACTGTGAACATAATGACAACACCCAGCTTATTGGATCTAAAAACTAACACAGCGTGAGCAGGACTTGACCAGTTGACCGGTCGAAATAATCTATGGGTACTCAGGGAGCGTACGGACAGTTACCCCTAAGTTCGGTTCAGACCAAGTGGGCACCTCAACCCAAAGAGGAAGACGCCGGAGGTTGAGAGGCTGGGGATGAAGTGGTAGAGGGTAAGGAGAGCAATTATAGAATTTGGCCTCTCTGGCCTGTCAACTTGAAAAGGAGGTCGGGGGGGGGGGTGGCATTATGACAAATGGTGAAAAGGGTGAATGGGGGCAAGCAAGCTTAAGAACCCTTGGCCTATAGGATATAAAATCCTATATTTTACAATCAATATGAGAAACCCAAATAAGTAAATGTTCAGTGACATCTCTTTAAAAACTATAAAAAAAAAATTTATCATCACCTCCTCCTAAATTTTAAACCTGCATTGGGTCATATGGCCTGTTTTGTTACCCCAATTTTTTTTAATTCCTAGCTGGCAACTTATTTTTTTTTTCTCTCTCCTACTAACTCAATGAAGATATGCAGCACATGGGATGGCGCAGTTGTAGCTCAGTCGGTGACTAATGCAGGGTTAAACAAATATAATCAGGGGACTTACCATTGACAAAACCTACAGCAGCAGCAGCAGCATTGCGACCATCTTGAGCACCAATTTTGGAAGGGACTGCAGCACCTGAAAGTTCAGAAAAAAATGTGAAAATGATAAGAAAAAAATATTTGCTTCAAGATTTCATACATTTTATTGTCATGGGCAAATATGTCCGCAGAATAAAAAAAAAATGAAAAAGGAATGTCATCTAAAATTTTTCTCTTTTCTTTCCTACATAGCACTAAAACAGCTCTGCTCGCCTCGTCATACAGCTGTACGTTAGTATTTATCAATTTCTTATTTATGCCATATTTGTTTATTCTTATCCACAATGCCTTGTTCCACACTCTATCAAAGACATTTTTTAAGTCTATGAAGACATGGTAGATGCTTTGAGTATTTTTCACACAGAATTGTGTGAAGTTCTGGGGCTTCAAAAAAAGGTCATTCCACCTGTGGAGTCCAGTTTCAGAATTGTAGAAAAATGCTAATAGATTTAAGTACTGTCACTGAAAATCACTTTTTTTTTGTAGATTTGTAGTGGACCGTTGGGTGATGAGTATGTAAAGAACACACGTGGGTTAAAATTTCCTGCTAGCTGGTCCAGCTACATGAATGTTGTGGAGTGATTTCGCAGTGGAGGCTTGTATTTGTACTAAATCGGTCCTAAAATAGGTTTGACGTACAAAACGTTAGGAACTTGATATAATAGGTATTACGCAATGTAATCTTGTTGTGGTCGCTGAGACTTTCGTATTTGACTGTCGTCCAACATCGACTGACCGTCGTTTCTATTACTACTCCTACTTATATTAGGTGGGAGAGTCTATTAACTATAGAATAGGTGTGTTTCACCATAACAATGAGAAAGTTGGACTTTAATTAAGTCCAGCGAAAACAAACAAGACTGATAATTATATACAAACAAATATATGTATTAACAAAAGGTTACAAGCACATGGACAGTTACATTGAGTGCGTGTGGTGAATATTATGTGTGTGTTGTGGTGAGAGTTCATACATATGTGTATTGTTCTTAGCGTGTTCCCAGAATTTGGGAAACACTGTATCTGTGAGAGCTCACATATTGGTGTTAGCTAAAATGAGAGAAGAATTACCACCTCACCCTCAAGGCCTGAGGGAAAAGGAAAGATTGAGGCGAAGGGTCAGCCAGTATTTATAGCCAAGGGAGAGAGAGACCCTTGTTGAAGGATTAAGGAACTGAGAAGGGGGCTAATTTGACCAAGAAAGTTGGTTTACTACACCATGCTAGACAAATTTTCTGTCCAGAATCCTACATATCTGTAAGTCTACAGTTCGCCCAAAGCTTAGAATATTCCTGCCACATATGGTCAGGTGCTTCTGTTATTTACTTTTAGCTCCTTGATAATATCCAAAGAAGAATCAGCAATATTATTGGTCCTGAGCTTCGGTCACTTTCCCCACTGCCAAAAGGTTGCCTCTCTGTGTCTTTTCTATAAATACTTTCAGAAGTAATTGTTCAGATGAGCTCTTCACTATGGAGCTTAGATTTTTTTTTTTAATCTAAGTGCAGTACTACACAGAGATCAATATCTCATCAATTTACAGTTGAGCTAGTTAGATGTAGCCATAAGTTCTATGCTAACAGTTTCTTTTCTTGCACTTCTCGGTTGTGGAACTCACTTCCAGCTGCATGCTTTCTAGCTAACTTTAATCTGTAAAGATTTAAATGCAATCCTAATCGCTATCTACTGTACTTCTGATTAATCTTTCTTTACCCCGGTCATTACTAATGTTCCTGTTCCTAATTTCTCCATACCATTTAACCCCCTTGTGTCTTAGTGACTTTACTGCCTTGCATGGGGTAAAGTATGTTTCAGAAATTTATACTCAGCTTAAAAAAACGTCTTTTCTTAAAAAGCAAGATTGCAAATACAGTCAGCACAGTAGATAATAAAAACAAAGTAGACAAGTATTCATAAAAATTATTTATAAAAGGTATTTGATATGTCGGCCATATTTGGAAATCAGTATAATTGAACATCTTTTGTCTCAAAGACAGGAAATTCATCAAAATTGATTAAAAAAATTAATAAACACAAAATCTGTCATGTTCTATTCTTTGAATTTTTGTCTCGCTTGAAGAAAGGGGAGATAATTCCAATGTTTTGGGATTGTTGTTTCATATTCCTCTGTTTGCTGGCACATTTTTTAAATTAGGATAGTTTTGCTCAAACGTAAAGTTTGTTTAGATACTGATTTTCTTGTTTTTTATTATAAAGTTTTCTTTCTTCATTTTTAATGAAAGATAATATTTTTTTATTTCTATAATTTATTAATATATACCACATATATTCATGTAATGTGCAATCTTGTGCAGCGTGCAACCCCCAAATTTTCACTTATAAAAACTGATTTTATCATGTATCTGGTGTATCATGCAAGTTCCTTTTGTGAGATACCAAATTACAGTAGACTAAGCTTTTTTCCTCTATCTCTTTATCCAATCTTCTAGTTAAATAAGTTAAAAAAGTAAGAGAATGATAAAAGTATCGTTAGTAACACTATACTCATTGTGTAAACGCCAACTGCCATAAACAAGCGAATTATAAAACATCTTATAAACAAAAACAATGGAAAAGATGCATAATTCGCCATGTTTGTATTTTATAATACGGTACTATATAGGAGGGGGGAGAGTGAAAAGCCTTTATTTCATTGGCTGATATTGACTGACATATGTCAATAAGAACGGTCAGACTCCTAGACATATGTGAATTTTTTAGCCATGTCAAGGTGCATAGCACGGTGCTATCAAGGAGGTGGCCTGACCCTTTTTGGAATCAGGTCAGGGTTTCTGTTTGAGCTGATATGATGCAAAACCCGAAATTGGCGATGAAGACCACCCTAATATGTGAATATTACATGCATTCTTATTGGATACAGTTAATTAAAACATCAGTTTTATCAAAATCATCTTTATTTTAAATACAGCTGTACTTTTGGACTACAGTAAATGAATAGTTTGGTTAACAGTGTAGTCACGGTCAGCAGTATATGTGCTAATTTTATATATGTGTATTATGTGACCCTCTTAAAATTAGCTTCAAAATTAAGTCTTCAAAAATTACATGTTATGCGACCATATATGGTAGAAATATAATAAAGTCATATCAAACAGAAAAGTATGATAGATTAATTAACACCTTAAAATTTATTTTTTTTTGTCTGAATTTCTGGGATGAGCATCTGGTTAGTAAGTTTGTCTCACTAGAACAATTACTGCAGTGAGTGTAATCCTTAGCAGGGACCCTATACTTTCAGCCTTGTGCCACACCTAAGCTATGCTTAGTCATCATCATCATCAGGTTGAGAATTCTTCTCAGATCTTCTAACCGATCTTTTGATGCACAATGGCTTCCATAGGAGGGTATCACTCACAATTTATGATTGTCAGATACTTTTTCTTCTACTTCTTCAGGTTGAGAATTCTTCTCGGATTCTCCTGACTCGTTCCTTCCAACCATCTCTGTCAGACATCATTATCGGCAGGTCCTCCAGATGGCATCCACAGTCATCTACAAGTTGGTCAATGTAGGTGTGATGAGGTCTTCCAACTGATCTTTTGCTGCGCAATGGGTTCCATAGGAGGGTATCACTCACATGTTCTGACATCGCTCTCGGAGTGACCAGTGAGCTGAAGCCTTCTCTTTTAGCAAAACTGAGATAGGAAGAAGGTGTCCATACAGCCGTTTCTTTGTTGTGTGTTTCTTCCAGCTGAGTCCAATGCAACTCGGAACATCCTTGTGTATGTTCCTTCAAAATATGCTTCTTGGTGTTTTGTCAGTATCCATGTTGTTGAGTCGTAGAGCAAGACAGATTCTACCATGGCCCTTAAGATTGTCAGAGAGGAAAGTCTTCCAGATGATGCTCAGAGCATCTAGGACACCCCAGGCCTTACCTTTGTGGATTTTGATGTCTCTATCCATTGACTGGATGTTGCTGCTGAGGTAAACAAGTTTTTGAACAGACTTGGTGTTTTTACTGTTTTTATGCTTAGTAAATCACCATAATCTTCTTAAAGTTGATAGTCTTTTTTTCTCACTTTCCTTTACAAGGCTTGTTTTTATTAGAAACGCTTTCATGTGTTATTCATTTGGAATGTTTGTGCAGATGAAATTTCCTACTAATCTACCAATTATACTGAAAAACGGTGCTGTTTGACAAAAATGGACTCACCAAGAATTGAATCTGGGCCACAATTGAAAGCACCAGCAAGGAGCATGAAGAAATTATTAAAGAATATTCCCCAATGACTTGTCAAGTTGAACAGTACAAGAGTGATGCCACTCAGGAAAGCGGACAAGGTTGTTCCCAAGAGCGGACACTTGGAAAAATATCTGCAAAACAAAAAATAAGAATAGTTAATAAAACATCTAATCTTTGGGAAAAGTTGTTTTTTTTAAATATGTCGATATGGAGACATTTATGTCTGGATTTTTGAGAAGAGAAATTACTGTTATTATACACTGATTTACTCAAACTAGTGTCTTTCTAGTTGTGAGTTCAATCCCTGTGCAAGAAGAAAAAAAAAAAATCAAGTGACAAGTCAATCATAATACTGAATGACTTTCAAAGAATCTACTGATACGAGTTATCTCCCCTTTTATGAACAAGCATAATAAAATCAATCCTCTTTCATAGATTGAATGGCAAACACGAATTTACATGACCACAACAAGACGGTTTTTCTCATGACAGAGCTTTTTGAACTACCTTCACTCTTCAGCAAGGTTTATTGTTTTAAAAAACAATGATTAGAATGGGAATAAAACCTAATCATATGAAAGTGAATTTATAAATTTTCTTTGTTCTTCAGAATTGACAACAAATGTAATGAACAAAATACATTATATTGTTTATTGGAATGGTTGGCAAAACATCGGCTAATTGCCAAATTATTTAAACTTTAAAAAAATGTTAAATAATAAGGATTTCATAAAGTTTTATTTCTTATACTGTATTAGAGAAACATGGACTTGAGTGTTCGCAATAAAACTTTTTTTGCTTAGAAATTTCTTTCCAATATTAGGGTGCATCTTTCAAGCTGCAGCATCTTGTAAGGCGGTAATTGCCGATCGATTCAAACTTTATAAATTGATCAATAATAAGGATTTCCTTATAGTTGGCTCACATATTTTAATAATCCAGTAAATGTTTATAAATTTATGAATAAAAATTGTTTCCACATTTATTTCTTTATAAATTGGTAAATGATAAATATTGCATTGCATTAGTTTTTTGAATGTTGTAAATATAAAATTATTCTTGTAAATAAACAAACAATCTAATAAATAATGTTTAATATTTTTGTTGTCAATTCCGAAGAACAATAAAATGTAAAAATTCACTTTTGTCATATGTTTACATTTTATTCCAATTCTAATAATTGCTTTTTAAAACATTAAACATTGTCAAAGAATGAAGATCATTAAAAAAGTGGAGCCATAGAAAAAAAAACATCCTTTTGACACTGTCTTACTGCAGGCACGTTTGTCCAGGCTTGCTGAATAAATCATTATTTTTCTTTAATCATTTCACCCCAAGCAAGGTGTCAATGCCACTAAGATGCAAGGGGTTACAGAGAGTGAAAGATAATGAGAAGTGAGGAGAAAAGACAATAAAGGAATAGAATTCAGTTAGACCAAAGATGGCAACTGGCATTGCATTTATCTACCTTACTCTGAATAACTCTATTTAAATGTATCATATTAATTTTATAAGGTTTTTTTTTTCATTTGTTCTTTAATTTAATCAATTCTTTTTATTTAACCATTTCACCCCAAGCAAGGTGATAATGCCACTAGCTCGCAGGGAGTGAAAGAGAATGAGAATATGAATTCAAATTTTAGTCTGCAACAGTATTTAAAATTTACAATAGGAAGCTGAGATGTGTTTTGTTGGTTTATTGATTTTGTAAAATGTTACGTTATTTAATGTTGAATTTTATTTCATTATTGTTAAGTGGTCTAAATCTGCAATTTTTAAAATCACTTCACCCCAAGCAAAGAGACAATGCCACTAGGATGCAGGAGGTTACAGGGAGTGAAAGAGAATGAGAAGATTTTAGTGAGGCGAAGTGAGGGCTCAAGAAAACACAAAATAGCAATTGACATTGCATTTAACTATATTTCTTTGAATATCTCAACTTAAGTGTGCTATGTTAAATTTATATGTTTTTTTTTCTATTTGTTGCTTATTTAATCAGTTCTTACCTATCTTTTTTGTAATCATTTCACCCCAAGTAAGGCATGAAAGCCACTAAGATGCAAGGTGTTGCAAGGAGTGAAATGAAAAGTGAGGGGAAAGGGTAATAAAAGAATAGGATTCAGTTAGACCAAAGATGGTGATTGTCATTGCATTTAACGTTACGTTAATGTTATTTAATGTCAAGTTTTATTTCATCATCTAACACTGTGATTTTTAAAATCATTTCACCTCAAATAAGGAGACAATGCCACTAGGACGCAGGAGGTTACAGAGAGTGAAAGAGAGGGAGAAGACTTTAGTGAGGAGAGAAAAGAGAATAAAAAAAAAAGGTTTCAAGAAGACAGAAGATGGTGATAATGCCACTAAGATGCAAGGGGTTACTGGGAGTGAAAGATAATGAGAAGACTTTAGTAAGCAGAAAGGACAATAAAAGAACAGGGTCCTGAAAAACAGATGACAATTTTTTTTTTTTTAACTTTTGAAGATTGTAGTTGACAGGGAAGCAAGAACACGGAAAGGAGTTCCACAGGTGAGAAGTGCAAGAAAAGAAACAGAATAGAATTTACAGTTACATCTAGATGTTTCAACAGTAAAACGACAACACTGAGTTGCCAATCCATTAATATATTTAAATTCATGCATTCAAGGTACTAAAGTGTAGAATTCATTAGAACAACTGCCATGAAAATATTTGTAGAAAAAAAAAAAAAAAAGACTGAAGTCACGTCATGTCAGCGAGAAAGTGACTGAAGTCCAGATGTCAGGGTCAATTACATTACAGACTCTGATTGTATTCTTTTGAGGATATATATATATATATATATATATAAATAAAAAGAAAGAACAGTAAGATATGAAATCCGGTGTTCTTATAGATATTTTTATTTTTACAAAATAGTGCTCAATGTAAATTTACAGAGCATTAATATTATAAATTAATTGATTTAAAATATGTTTTTTTTTTTTGTTTTTTTTTTCGCAATTTATGATGACTATGATGGCAAAAATGGAAACTTAATTTCACTGATTTAGTAAACTTTTACTTTATATATAAACCTAGTAATATAATGTTTTTCATGTAAGTACAAAGGACATGGGTCATTCAGAAGCTTACATCTTATGGCATTTCATATTAATTTTATTTTACTATAGGTGTTTTTTTTTGGATTCTTTTTAGTGCGTGTAGTATTATTTAAAAGAAATTTAGGTTAGAATTCATTCAATTTAACTATAATTTTAATTTCAATTTTAAAATTAAAAACTTTAAACTTTTAAAATAAACAGTAGCTAACCAAGAAAAAGTATGTAATTTTCAGATTCAGCGACCTCAAATTAACTAAAAAAGATGTTTAGTGTCTCAACACTATTTCAAAAATTTTTTTTGTTGACCAGTGTTATTGAACTTAGCTGTTTTGTATTCAAAATTTTTTTTTCTAGAGGTTACAAACAATTCCTTTTAAATAATAAACAAACAATATATATCTTTTTAATTAAAAAATAGAAATCTACATAAATTAATAAAGGTATGTTTATTCTTCATTTGAGATAAATAACTATGAACCTCCAATATTTGCATGTGTTCCCATAAAAACCCTTACAGAAAAAAAAATTTAAAGGAGTTAAAAAATAAATAAAAGATTACAATTTAGCAAATTAAAAAAAATATGCTGATATCAATGATGTTACACTTTCAAATTTGACATTTGTAAATAACAACTAAGTCGAATAACTCTGTAAAAGTCATCAATATTATAAAATGCACCTCCTAATTTTTTTAATTATGACCAATTTTGCAGCCTAAGGAAGGTGTAAAAAAAAAAAATTATTTTCAAAAATATTTCTTCAAGTGTACCAGTCTATTTAAGAAGTGCCCATTCTAAATGTTGCAAAAAGTTGATTAAAGTTACATTTTTTTTCAAAGTTGGCAGTTACCTGTCCATGACAAAGCCAATTCCAAAACTTCCGAGGACTCCTCCAATTTCAAAAGTAGTAGAAAATAAACCAGCCTGGTTTTTGGTATACTTCAGCTGAAAATAATTAAAAAGAAAAACATTTAAATTAATTATTGTATATACTCATGTAATGAACAATATTTATACAGCTGTACTTTTTGACTACAGTAAATAGTTTGGTAAATAGTTTGGTCAATAGCATAGCCAGAGCCAGCAGCACATACATCAATTTTATATCTCATGTATGATGTGACCCCCTTAAAATTAACTTCGAAATTAGGTCTTCAAAAAGTCACATGATACATAAGTATATATGGTAATTAAAGTACAGTATTTAAAACCTTTTATCACTGCAGGCAAATTGATAAAAATTATTCATCAAATTTTCATAACTCATCAGCACTTAACCAATAATCATTATTTTTCATAAATAAATACTATGGTGAGTTTAAATAAATACTACGGTGAGTTTAAAAACTGACATATGACTGGCTGTAGAGAAGAACATATGTGGTCACAGTTGCAACTGATTGGTACCCTTAAACAAAACCATTCTTTTTGCCTAATGCATAGGGCTATTGTATCTTAACAATAAGTGATCCTCTACAGCTGGTCATGTAAATAGTACTTTTCTTGCTTTAGAAACAGAGACAGTCAGACGCTGCTGTAAACAATAGGCATAACTTTTCCACAGCCAGACTTTGTACTATTTTTTCTCTAAAATCTCAGCTTGTCGTGGTTTGGTTTGTTTTACGGCATATCAATGTCAATGGGTTATTTAATGCTAACAAGATTTTTATTGCTGGTAATATTTTTTTCCCTTCAAAAATGTATTGCTGGTAATAATTTTGCCTAAAAAAATTTATTGGCAATAAATTTTTTCAGGAATGATTTATTGCTGGCATTAAAACCTATTTTTACACTTTGGGTAACTACACTGCGTGCCAAATTATTATCGAGATAACTTTTTTTCTAATATTTCAAAAACCGTCCAATAAATTCACATAAAATTTTCACACAATTTTGTCAACACTGATCTGCGTAATCACTGAAATTTTCGTACTGATTTGCACAATGTATTTGCCCATAGTTGGGATCCTAATAGATGATAACATTCCAGGTCAGGGTGGACCTGGGAACACCAGCAATTTAGAGGTGGTTCCATGCTCCTTGAAACCTCCTGATCAGAGCCCTTGCTGTTCGATGTAGTTTATCATCTTCCCCAGGACACAAATGTAGTTTCAGCTTGTTGTGTATTTTGTTTTTGTTTGGCATTGTTTTGTATAGGATGGTATAGATCCCTCCTCAATAGATATCCAATACTACTTCAATGCTAAGAATTTATTTACTGTAAACTTGTTGCAATTTAATTTGTGGAATGACTGCAGCATGTGATTTGCAAAGCAGTAGAGGAAGTTTAACATGTTCGTGCTATACTGTTGGCAGAAAATGAGAGAAAGGAATCTGAAGTAGCAGATTCATATCAAGTTTTGTGTGAAGGATTAGTTGGATGGAAGCAAGGTGCAGTAATGGATAGTGGCTTGGATTGAGGAATCAGAGAGGCAAGTTCAAACTCAGTCAAATTCACTTACATGCATATACCATTGAGCAAGATATGAATCCATCTCTCCTCCCTCCAGCTAGGGGTAAATAGCAGGACAGACTCGGTTCTATAGCCTTACGTGACAACTAGTCAATGAAAAAAACAATAATGATTTCAAAACCTCCAACTAGGGATAAATACTAGAGTAGACTAGGCTCATCAGCTTTGGTTTGTTACCAGTTTAATTTTGGTTAGTATGTTTTTTTATGGTTTATCAACCTTTTGCAGGTTATTTAAAGTAAGAAAATATTTTGGGATTGTAAAAATCTTTTGGAGATTTTGTATGGGGGCAAACCATTGTGTATAAAAGTCAATATTGTAAAGCTCAACCAGACTAGCCCATCTAAAACTTCACATATAAAGAAACACTGGTGCATCCAAATGATACAGCATTATAAAGAAACATCGGCGTGCCCAAATGTTACCTCATTGTAAAGAAACATCAGCGTGCCCAAATGTTACCTCATTATAAAGAAACATCAGCATGCTCAAATGTTACCTCATTGTAAAGAAACATTGGCGTGCCCAAATGTTACCTCATTGTAAAGAAATGTCGACATGCCCAAATGTTACCTCATTGTAAAGAAACATTGGCGTGCCCAAATGTTACCTCATTGTAAAGAAACATTGGCGTGCCCAAATGTTACCTCATTGTAAAGAAACATTGGCGTGCCCAAATGTTACCTCATTGTAAAGAAACATTGGCGTGCCCAAATATTTACCTCATTGTAAAGAAATGTCGACATGCCCAAATGTTACCTCATTGTAAAGAAACATTGGCGTGCCCAAATGTTACCTCATTGTAAAGAAATGTCGACATGCCCAAATGTTACCTCATTGTAAAGAAACATCGGCGTGCCCAAATGTTACCTCATTGTAAAGAAACATTGGCGTGCCCAAATGTTACCTCATTGTAAAGAAACATCGGCGTACCCAAATGTTACCTCATTATAAAGAAACATCGGCGTGCCCAAATGTTACCTAATTATAAAGAAACATTGGCGTGCCCAAATGTTACCTAATTATAAAGAAACATTGGCGTGCCCAAATGTTACCTCATTATAAAGAAACATTGGCGTGCCCAAATGTTACCTCATTATAAAGAAACATCAGCATGCTCAAATGTTACCTCATTGTAAAGAAACATTGACGTGCCCAAATGTTACCTCATTGTAAAGAAACATTGACGTGCCCAAATGTTACCTCATTGTAAAGAAACATCGGCATGCCCAAATCTTTTTTTAAATCATTTCACCCTCAAGCAAGAAAATAAAGTCACTAAGGGTTATTGAGTGTGGGAGAATATAAGAAAAACTATTATTAAAAGAGAAGACAATAAAAAGCAAGAATTAAGAAGACAGGAGATAACGTTTGACATTGCATTTACATTTTTTGACAGTTACATCTAGTCATTTCAACTGTAAAATGATGAGACCTAGATGCCAATCTATTACTGAGCTTAAATTTATAAAGTCTATATACCATAGCAGGAAGTTCACCAGAGTGACTGAAGCCAAGATGTCATGACAGGACCAATAGAATTATAGATACTTCTTTTCATTTTATCAACAATTTCTAAGCATATAGTATATGTTACCTCATTATAAAGAAACATTGGTAGCCACATGTACATGCTGTATCGGACAACCTTCAGGCAGAAAACAGCTAGTGCAACCTCCATCATCATCCTGAAGCAAAAAGAAAATTCGTCAATAACTATTTTGAATAAGAAAAATTTGTCTAATAACTATTTTCAAAAGTTTAGACAAATGGAAACAAATGATAAATACAGAAATTATGAAATAACAGAAACTTGCTTTAAACATTTGGCATTCATTGACCAAGCAGAAAATGTTGCTCGACTTATGCTTTTCTTCACTCCTTGGCAACTGTGCTGGGATGAAAGTATGGCATCTGTTCTCCTCGACTCTAATGGTAATAGTAATATTAGCAGTTTCCTTACAAGGAAACATTTGGCATCCATTGACTGAGCAGCCACTGTTGATTGACTTATGCTTTTCTTTGCTGCTTGGCAACTGTGCTGGGATCAAGGTGTAGTATCTGTTCTCCTCGACTCTAATGGTAATGGTAATATTAGCAGTTTCCCTATAAGGAAACATTTTGCATTCATTGATCGAGCAGCCAGTGTTGCTCGAGTTATGATTTTTTTTCACTCTCTGGCATTTGATCTGGGATCAAAGTGTAGTATCTGTTCTCCTTGACTCTAATGGTAATGGTACTATTATCTGTTTCACTACAAGGGAAAATTTAGAATTCATTGACTGAGCAGCCGGTACTGTTTTCGGTTGAAATTTATAAAACATTTCTCTTTAAACAATTTCTAAGGAAAATAGGTTTTTCAAATCCAGTAGCTGTTATCACTCTTTCCAGTACTGATGGAGGTTTCCTTCCTAACCTTTTGCTTGAAGTTGTGTGGAATGTCAACATCTTGATTATGTCATTGTTTTCTCTTCAAGTTACATCTGCTATCCCCTTTAGGTGTTGCTTTTGTCAGTAGTCCTCAAGTAAAGTGGTTTCTTTTATTTGGTAGAGTTCTTTGTGATTCTGTAGTGCCAGTCCACAATGTCCAAAGCAGGATGATCTTTGCCAAGACCCCTCAAGGCTTCACTTGCTAAAAAGCATTTTTAACCATTGATCTCAGAATGCAGTTGTATAACAAGTGACAGCTTAGATATTTCTGAACAAGTTTACAGACTCAATCTCATGAGCCTATTTAATAATTTTTTTTATCATTTCATTCCCAAGCATGACAATAATGCCACTAGAAAACAGGGTTTACCAGGAGTAAAAGTAAATCAGAAGACTGAGAAGGGGGGGGGTGAAGGAATGAGAAAAAGTAAACAGGATTCCAAAAGTAAAAAGATGGTGATTAACTTTGCATTTAAAGTTTTGAAAATTGTAGTTCTCAAGGAAGCAAGAAGTTAGGAGAGAGTTCCACAGGTAGGAAGTGCGAGAAAATAAACTGTTAGATTAAAAGTGGCAGTTGCATTTAATTAGTTCAACAGTAAAACAGTGAGACCTAGTTACCAGTCTAGTAGCATGTTTAAATTCATGTAGACAGGCATCTTACTTATTATAAAACGCAGATATTGTGTGAGTGTGTGTGTGTATGTGTACGTTTATATATTGGATCGGATTTCCTACATTTTTCAACAGATTTCAACAAAACTTCACAGGACTACATAAAATTACCTTGCGGTAGTTCTGACAGTGCCAAAAATTGGAAAAACACAATTGTTTTTGCATGAAATCAATTTGAAAACACGATTAAGAGGCATCACGAGAATGGAAGGGGGACAACTCATATCGAGTTATACTTATTATAGAACCCAGGTTGTTTGTGTGTGTGTGTGTGTGTGTGTGTGTTCGTTTATATATGGGATCGGATTTCCTACATTTTTCAACTGATTTCAACAAAACTTCACTGGGGGGGGGCAGGTAGTGTTTCTTATTGTCTTTTTTTTTTTTCCTTATTTTTACATTCAGAATGCTTTTAAAATTCCATTTACAAGACAATTGTTTATAATAAAATTCTATTCAATCGGTAGACTCATAACGAATGAAAACAATGTTTTTGTTTGTGTTTGGATTTGACCAATTCATAAAAAAAAAAAAAACTAATTAAGACATGCATGTCCGTCAACCTTAAACAATAATCTTTGTCAATTTTTCAGTCTTTATGATGGTCGATACTCTTACTGTTACATCCCCGGGCAACGTCGGGCTCTACTGCTAGTCATGGATAAAAGTTCATCAGAACAATTGCTATAAAAATATTTATAGAAAAGGCAGAGGCGAGACACATCATGTCAGTGAAAAAGGGACTGAAGTCGAGATGCCTGGCCAGGATCCATTATGACTTGAATTTTCAGTTTATTGTTTTGGTTTTGTAGCATGGAGTTTGGTGAAACTGACTCTACCACAGCTTATTTTATGTTCAGTATCTCCTAGTCTAAATTTACAGAATTCAAATTAAAATCATTCGAATCCTTTTTTTAAATGGACACTGTAAAATAATTGGCAGAAATGCCAATCATACAGAATTGACAAAGTTTGCAATAAACAATAACAAGAAAAGAACTGAACAACAGAATCATATTAAGCAAACGAACAATATATGCAAGGCAAAGCAACATTAATAAGGCAAAGGAACATTAATAAGGCAAAAAGTTCACAAACTAAGAATGATGTTAACACTCAAAAGGGGATACAGACAAGCAGTTGCGGTGTTCTGGCTTAAAGACAAGAACGAACAGAATTATGTCAGATAGGACCAAAAAGTCGTCATTTTATTGGTTAGGAAGCATGCATCTGCATGTTTTGTCTATAATTTTGTGGAGGGGGATGTTTTTGCAGTGTTTCCTAGTAACTGGAAACAAAAAAAATAAAAAATAACTCGTCTTTGGTCACGTGCCTCATCATATTCAGGACACCAAAATAAGTCATACCAATGACTCAATCAAAAGTGTAACAAAAAGCGTAAGGAAGAAACAGAAACTGATATTTGTAATACCATTCCTCTTCTAGTTGTAAACGTGAAGATTTTGATCTCATTAACTTAGAGTACATTCGTAAAGTGCATAAAAAGTTATTTTAATTTTTAGAAACCTCAACAGCAAAATAACATTAAGTAAACAAACAATATATGCAAGGCAAAGCAACAGTAATAAGGCAAAAAGTTCACAAAACTAAGAATGGTATTAACACCCAAATCGGGATACAGACAAGCGATCGCAGCGTTCTTGCTTCAAGACAAAAAAAAAAAACAGAACTGAGTTGGATGAGATGGAGAAGTGACCAATCTTATTGGCTAGGAAGAAATCCCAGCATGCATCTGTGGATTTTTTCTAAGGAGGGGGGATGTTTTTGTAGTCATTCCTAACGGGATGGGAACCAACAATATTTCTAAAGAATTAATGAATTTATTTATAATCTGACATTTTTATTACTTCAAGTGGTCACTCGTATTTGAAATTTTTATTTTAGTGTGTATCCCATGTATCAGTCTGCACTACTGAGAAATCTTGATAACAGAATTTTGACACCCACGTCCCAGTATATCGCATATCAAGGAAATTTTGACCAAACACAGCCTCATATTAAGTCAGAGAACGTTAAAATGGATAGAAAAAAATTATTTTAATTTTTAGAAACCTTGGAAGAAAAGATCTTTAAAAAGAAAGAACTCAACAACAAAATAATAGTAAGTAAACAAACAATATATGCAAAGCAAAGCAACAAGACAAAAAGTCCACAAAACCAAGAATGGTATTAACACTCAAAAGGAGATAGAAAGAAGCGATCACAGTGTTCTGGCTTCTGGATGTTAGACACTTGAGCAATCATTATTTAAATTATAAAAGGTTCAATTCCTGGTGATGGGAACAAAAAATTACAGACAAAAAAAATCATGACATATGCTTTGTTAGGTTAAGAGAAAGGTCAAAGAGAGAGAAATCATAACTTCAGCTTCTGAATAAGAACAAAACCAGCAAGAAATAAGAGAGACTCATATTTGTCTAAATTTCTGGAATAAGGAGTTGCCATTATTTACACTATTTATATTCGGACTATTGCCAGCATCTTTCTTGTTGCTATCAATGTTTTGGCCATTGTGCTCTCCAACCTTCCTCAAGTGTATATCGATCTGGATAACTTACAGGGAATTTTGAACTGAACCCTTTATTTAATCTATGGCGGTAGACTGTTCTCTGCTCATGTCTAGGGATGTATCATTTAATTCTTATTTTATTTAGTACTGTTCAGTTATTGCTTGCCCGTTTCCCCTGAGTAGCAAGCACACCTTACCCGACCAAGCAGCCAGGTTAATTTTAAGGCTCTAAGTTCATTACGCCAAATTGTCCTGCAATGGCCTAGTGAAGGGGTTGGCAACCTGTGGCACACAGATGCAAATGACCTCACAGTGTCTGAACCAATAACTAATACAACGGAAAGAAGACATTAAACTGTTTCAATTTTAATATATACTAAAAGTATATATACTATATATTACTATATAAAATATATTGTAGATCAGGTATATTGACCTTGACTTGTAAAAAAAATATGTATGCTGTTGGCACACTGAATGATTTTAAAACCCTAAGTCGGCCCATAGTTAGCAAAAGGTTGCCAACCTTTGTTCTAGTGGATAAAAGCGTTGGTTTGTGAATTTGATAACATACTGGTTGTGAGTTCATTACCCAGGTTGGCCAGAGTGGAAAATGGGTGAGCAATAACTGGAAAGTGCTAAATAAAATATCCCTAGATATGAGCAGCTTAGTCCCAATATGCCAGATGAACAACTTCCATCACTTTTGTATTCCATTAATAAGAAATAAGTACCATTTAGACTTCTTCTTCCAAAGAACTTCTACTTTGCAGAACAGACTCTCAATTACTACAATCAGGACCTCTTCAAGTCTAGCGTTAACCATTATCTTTGCGAGATATAATCATAAACTGCTCTCCTGACTTCTTCCTATTACCCATCATGCAATAACCGAGGTTCCGCTTACCATCATTCCCAGAATATTGTAGCGTAAATGAGCTTGTGTTCACTCGTACAACACTAAATACTTTTTTCAATCTGCTGTTCTTGAGTTCCCGTACATGTCACCAACGTAAAAATTCCTCCCTTCCCACTGCTTCAGCCCTCTCTTATCATACCAACACCACATCTGACTGACCAGTTAGCATTCTTTGCTTTGCCCTCAGTTACCCAGTCAAATGGCATCCTCCAGTCTGACCAATCAGCACGCGACTTGCTATTAGTCGAACCATGCTAAGCTGTACAAAAGCTACTGTTACAGAATATACACTTTTGTAATAATCTAACATGAGGAGGAACAAAATGCCACTGCTACAAGTCGTGTATTGAGGTAAGGAACTTATTTTTCTTTGCACCAGATCCAAGCCACTCTGATTCGCTTACTTCTACGTAATTATTCATCACAAATATTAAACAGAATAATAGAGGACTCACGGAATCTTCATCAATTGGAAATAATTCAGTTTGGATTCTGATCCTGGAACACTTTTAGAAGATTCTAGAAGAGAAAAATAAAGTCATAGAAATAGAACTTGAGTTCATAAAACAAATAAAAAGTCAACACCTTTTTCTCAATGCCAGCAGGAAGATCCCCATAGTACCATGACTGTACGTAATATCATCGATCATCACTTTGAGATGAGTTCTGATCATTTATTTAGTTTGTTTTGGTCTTGGAAGGTAATTATAGCTATTTTTTCCTCCTGGCAGAGTTTACAGTTTTACCATTTATTGTTTTAGGTTGATGCTGTTTTTCTTATTTTTCATATTTTTGGTGTGATCTGGTTTTTGTTTTTAATCTCCCAGATATGCTTCAAAAGCATTGTGATGTTTGTGTATCTACTAGTTGTAAAGGATATTGTGCGTGCATAGTTTGTTTCCAGGGTCCTTCAGTTACTCATATATATATATATATATATATATATATATATATATATATATATCTTTCTTAGTTATCTGTTGATTTTACAGTGGCTTGTTATATTATATTGTTCTGCATGCAATTGCCATTTAAGGGACATTCATTCTTTGTTCTACAGTTACATGTTTAATTTGTTCAGGTGGTTTGTTAGTTGTTTTCCTGTTGTACTTCTTTATTGTGTCATGTTCTCAGTGCAAGTGTAGCTGATTTTTACAGTGTTTTTGTTGAGTACTTTGTGGAGCATGCTTGATGCAGGGAAGTGCTTGTGTAATATGAGTTTAATTTTCCTATGTTTGTTTTTAAATTTTTGTTGTACAGTGGGTTGAACCATATGATGTTTCTCTACCTGTTGGCTTTTTTGTGCTGTGTGGTGTGTGTGAGTCTTGCCAGGAATCCACTATCTTTTAGGGCTGTTTCATAGTCTTTCTTGGTTTTGTTGAAGATGGCTTTACTAAAGAATTGTCAGAAAGCCTGTGGTTAATGGAGTGTGGTATCAGCTTGATTATTGATGGCAGATGTTTGGAAGATGTGTAGATATACAGTGGTTTATCATTGGGTTTTCTGTATGGTTTATATGTACCTTTTCTTGGTTAAAGATGACATCTAGAAAATCTACCTCATTTAGGTTAGTTTTTATGTCTATGTCGAATCCTATATTTTAAAATTTTTTTATGTTTGTTTTTCTAGTTTTGTATGTGCTTTGTTTGTTACAGTTTCTTAAGATTATGAGACCATTATCCCTGTAGAGGCCTGTATCATTTTTATTGATTATTTTATATAGTTCATGTGGCAAATGTATACCTATGAACATTGTCATGTCAAAGACCCCTTCTTTCTTCAGCTATGCACCTTCACTGTTGAATAACAGTGATTTTCAGGAGTGTTTAATGATTTTTATTTACTTTGTGTTTATTTTTGTTTGTTCTTGAGCTAAGGAGATGGCCTTATCCATCATATCTTCTGTTATAGAACGGTAGAATTCTTTTATATCTTGTATAAATTGGCAATTGTGTTTTTTTTTCAGTTGCAGAACCAGTCTAAATGGCATGTGGAATTAGAACAATCTACCCTCGACTAAATACAGGGTTCAGTTTGAAATTCCAAATATCACCTGAAGAAGGCTGGCGTGTACAATGGCCGAAACATTGTGAATAAGGTAATAAAGATGAGTTCAACAGTCTGAACGATTTAAATAGTTGCAAATAGTTACAAGCCTCATCTCAGAAATATAGACAGATCTTCAAAATTTTGTTTTTCTGGTGTTAATTGGTGACCATAAATTAGTCTGGGAAATTTGTGTCCTTTACAATTAAAAACACTTATTTGGAAATTCTTGCAAAAATCACATAATTGTTGGATTTTAATGAAACTTTCAGAACTTATTCACAAATGAATTAAATTATTTTAGAAATATCTCTTTTTTTACAAAAATCTTGATAAAAATATTTTATCTATATTTGTTACCAACCCAGTAATTTAATTTTATGAAATTTCAAGAAAATCATTTTTGAAGCACTTAATGTTTTAGTTATAAGGACAAGTTCTTGGAGAACTTAAATCATCAATTTTTTTGGAGACTAAAGTTGGCCGGAAAGCATGGAACCCAATGAGAGTTCCACAAGCAAGACATGCGAGAAAAGAAACTGTTAGCATAGAATTCATAATTACATCTAGCCAACTCAATTGTAAATTGTTCGAGACCTTTTCGCCAATTTAGTACTGCACTTAAATTCAAAGACCTAGACACCATGACAAAGAGCTCATCCAAATAATTACCATGAAAGTATTTATAGAAATTAAATCTATTAGATTGGAATGAAAACTAAAATAAAAACATCAAGAAAGATTTTTCATTTTTAAAATGCTTTTTAAACCTTAGTTATCACCTTTTTTTTGGCAGAGGGTATCTACTTTAATGTTTTTTTTTTTTATTTATCAGAAAATCTGAATGTATATGCCAATAAACATCACTGTTTTTTTAAACAAAAATAGTGTTGTCAGTGAAAAGAGAAAAAGGCAGATTAATGCCAAGGGACATAACTGAGGTATTTACCTTTTCCAGGGACTTCTATGTTTAATTCTGTAGGTTGTTTAAATTGAAGCAAAACGGCAAAACCCATCAGAACCTGAAATAAAAAAAATAATAAAAAGCAAACTGTAAGAAAAAGAAATTATTTACAGACTGATCGATTTTTACTCGAGAAATTATGATGTGCCAAATAATTTGTAATAATCTTAGCAAAAATCAAAGTCATTTCCCATTTCTTTTTTTTAATGATTTCACTCCAAACAAGGCAGGAATTCCACTAGTACTCGGGGGCTACGGAGAGTGAAAGTGAGAATAAAAAAAAAACTGTGTATAGGGAGGATTGAAGATATGTCAAAAGATGAACGGTATTCAGGAAGACAGATGATGGCAATTGACATTGTATTTAAATTTTTGAAGATGGTATTTATCAGGGAAGCAAGTAAATGAAAGAGAGTACCACAGGCATAAGTACGAGAAAAGAAACTGTTGGAGTACACATAGGACAAAATTTTTTGTCTCCCTTCCTCAAATGATCTATTGAAGCCAGATCATTAACTTCAGTGATTGTATGGGAACCAATGTTTCAACATGATATTGCCATAAGTGGGCAGTGGAAATGCTTCGGACAATAACTATGCAGTATTAAAACAAGAACTAGACGAGATATCCCTAGACATGAGCAGTGTAATCATAACAGCCTACCACCACTGATTAAATAAAGAATTCGGTGCAAAATTCCCCATAAGTTACCCGAATTGGCATACACTTGATGAAGGCCAGAGAGCACAACAGCCGAAACATTGCGATAGCAACAAAGATGCGGTCTATAGTTTGCATGCAACTAATGATAACTCCTCATTCCAGAAATTGAATGTAATAGCATGTAGGTCATATGTCTGTAATATACTACCTCTATTAAGGAACGTCTTGTACATAAGTCCTGCTATTCAACAAATATATTTCACGAACAACGAAGTACTCATGCTTAACCCTTTGGGCCCTGCATTCCTGAACAATTTTAACTCATCTGCCTGAGCTCCTGAGTCAAAATTCACAAATAATTGGTATTTAATATTCCATGGTGGATATAAAAATAGTTACAAGTTTTTACCCACAGTTCAACCGGTAGTTGGGTATTAAGTCATTTTTCTCTACTACTGACAACCAGTAACTGGGAATTACGTCATTTTTCTCTACCAGCGGTCAGGGCTCAAAATACAGTACTAGATTGGCAGCAAGGTTTGATCATTTTACAGCTGAAATGGCAAGATGTAACCGTAAGCTCTTAAACTGTAAGTTTTTTCTATCACACTTCTTGCTTGTGGAACTCCCTTTCGACTTCTTGCTTCACAGTCAACTTTGATCTTCAAAAATATAAATGCAATGTCAATCATTATCTTGTCTTCTTAATTCTTCTCCTTAAAAAGTAATTTTTTTCATATACTTTCTGACACTTACTAACCACTTGCATCTTAGTGCCTTTATTGCCTTGCTTGGGATGAATTGGTTTTTAAAAAAAGTAGACATTACGACACCTGCTATTTACTCCAGTTTTGGTGTAAATGCAGATTATTTTCCTATGTGCTGTGACCCTTCTTAACATTGACGATTATGGCTCTCCACAATTTCTTGTCCTTTGTAGCTAAAAATAAATTTTGTCTTTTTGTTATCTCTCCTAACCCTTCTTCCACCATCCATTCCCTCAAGCTCTCTAGGTAGGTTATGCATTGCTTTCCTCTGTCTCATCTTCAATCTGCCCTGTGAGTATCAGAGTTTCCAAGTCTTCTTTCTTCATTAGGTACCCCAGCAATTTCAACCATCTCTTCCTGATGTTAAGTGTTTATTTTGTTGCCATTGTCTCTAGAAGTTTTTCGTTTGCTCACATGTTTGGTTTGTGGTGTTCTCAGCATTTTTCTGTGAAACCACATTTCTGTGAGGAGATTGTCCAGCATTCACTGTCATTTAGGAGATTAGATATTACATAGTCGTCCAACACTCTTTTCTTTGTTTCTAAGGACGCTCGTCAGTAGAACCACATTTCTGTCACTTCAAGTCTCCTCTTCATCTGTGAGGAGATTGTCCAGCATTCACTGCTGTATTGGAGGATTGATACTACATAACAGTTCAGTAATCTTTTCTTTGTTTCTGACAATATTTTTCTGTTTCTTAACACTTTGCTTAGCTTTTAGAAGGCATCTTTAGCAATCCCAGTGCGCCTTCCAATTTCTGTGTTGCCCTTTCCATCCTCTGTTTAGATGCTTCCCAGATATCTAAATTTTTCCACCTGTTTGATTTCGGTATCGTCAATTTGTAATTTGCATGTTGGACTGTAGTACTTTCTATAGTGCACTGATTTCCAAACATTGACACTTAATTACAAATTTTTTCAATGAATTATTTCCTGTTACATATATTTTTAATATATATTTTATATATACGTACGTGGCCGAGTGGTTAGAACATTCACATTCTGACCATGAGGCCCAGGTTCAAATCTCACTATGGTCGATTTGTCAGTAAGGAAACTTCCTGATGTTATTGGACTGGAGGGGTCAATCCCAGCGTGTGGCACCTTTGGAAAGTGCCTGAAAACCATACCATGGGTTGACCCAAGCCTTCCAAATTAAATTGGGTAGACAGAACGCTTGGGTGCCAATGATAGCTGTGCTAGCACAAAGTCACAAGTCATTGTAGTTGATGGCTTGAGCATGCTGGCCTTGTTCAAATTGTTGATCATGCTCGCTCTTTCCCAGAAACTGTAACTAAGGTCTGCTCAGCATAGTATAAATCACAGGTGGTCTGTGGGTGTTGAATAAACACAAATGAGCCTGATCAAGCATCTGGGATTGTCTAGCTGCCCTAGTTGATGGGTATCCTCAAACAGGATTGGCCAGCTATATATCATATTTAATAAAACCTTATTAATATGTTGCAAAAAGTTATCTTTTTAAGAAAAGAAAGTTGCCAACAAATTTTGGAAAGCTCCACCCACGAAGATGAGTGACAAATATGATAATGCAATTATACACGTCACTACACAAGCCGTGATGACATCCAAAGTCAGCTCGTTATGTTCCCCAGATTCGTCTTGATTATGACCGTAATCGCAGTCAACATAACAATAGCAACAAATGCTTTTCAAGACAATTGTTGGGTTGGGAAGTAGCAAAAATAAATACAATTTCTCACATTCGGCAGGGTCTTTCTTCTGCTACAAGAAAAGCAAACTTCTGACCTTTCACTAAGATCCGACCCACGGAAACAAAACCCTACACACTGCCCAGAGGACCCCCACCCCTTTCCACCCACTCCAGAAAAAGGGAACTACCCAGGCAGGTTTTGGTTGGTTACTCTTTCAAAGGTCCTTACTTTTATGGCTATCTAAAACACTAACAAAACTTTGACATTTCAACGATGGGCTGAAGACAAGATTTCTGAGAAAACCTGGTCATTAAATTAAAAGGAAAAAGAACCTATCTATTCATTTCCTAAGGATGTGTGAGAAATCATATTTCTACACAAATAAATGGTAATAGTCCAATGTGAACTTAAAGAAAGTTGTGACTAAAAAGTATGTACTGTAGAAGAGCATACAGTAAAAGGCTATACTGACCACCAACGATGAGGGTAGGGCAAAAACATTTCTCCAGCCATAGTTGGTTTGAAGAATCACCTACAAGAGAGAAATTAGAGAAACTTCAAATAAAAACCAAAACAAAAAAAAAAAAAAAAAAGTAAAAACAAATCCCACAAAAGGTGGAAAAAAAAGTTTTAAAAAAATTAATCAATCAGTCAAATTCACAAAAATATGATGGAAAAAAAAAAAGACCCTCAGGCTTCAATCACTCAAAGCCTTTTTTTTTTTCACTACTGATCTTAGGAAGTGGTATTAAAAAATTGCCGACTCTCTGAAACGAAGATCATGTTGGTATTACTACACATCCTCCCTCCCTAGGACAATGAGGGAGATGCTACCACAGTTAATGGATCCCCAGGATTAGACATCTCTAATTTTTTACTCTATGCTCTGTCTGCAGAGAAAGACACAAATAAGAAATAAAGAGAACCACTAAAGATAAGAAAAAAATAAAATAAAAAAAAAAAAGAATCAAGCTGTCAAATTCCCAAAAGCATGATGGAAAATATTAGCCGCAAACCTGCCTGCAATAGGATGGAGTGTTAAAAGGACAGTTTTTCACCATGAAAACTACTTTTATTTATCTTCAATCCTTGGCAATGTTCATTGTTTTAAAGTGATGATTAGAATTGTAATAAAACCAAAATATATGAAAGTGAATTTATACATTTTCTTTGTTCTTGAGAATTGACAACAAAAATAATAAACACAATTTGTTTATTAGATTGTTTATTTCCACTATTTATTGGAATGGTTTGCATAACGTCAGTTAATTGCCAATTGATACAAACTTTATAAAATGATAAATAACAAGGATTTCCTAACTTGGACCTTAGTGCCTAAATGGAGTGTCAAAAAGACGGGGTTTTTTACCCATGACCACTTTTTTAACTAACTTTACTCTTTGACAATGTTTATTGGTTTAGAATGCGATGATTAGAATTGGAATAAAACCTAAAAATGTGAAATATATACATTTTCTTTGTTCTTCAGAAATGACAAAAAAATTAATAAACACTATTTATCAGATTTTTTATTTACATTATTTATCATTTACTGAAATGGTTGGCCAAACATTGGGTAATTGCTAATTCCAATTTTCTAAAATGCTAAATAAAGATTTCCTAACTTGGAGCTTCATGCCTACAAAGAAACGGAATGTCAAGAGAATGATTTTTTTGCATGACACCACTTTTATTTTAACTACCCTCACTCTTTGACAATGTTTATTGGTTTAAAAAGCAATGATTAGAATTGAAATAAAACCTAAACATATGAAAGTGAATTTATACATTTTCTTTGTTCTCGAGCATAATAATTAGTACGAACCAAACAACACACAATGATTAAAAATACAACATTAAAGACTTCAACAAAGCTCTTGCATCGGATGCGTGTAACAAACTTCCCAAGATTTGGTGCTTGAACCTTCCATCCTAATGAAATATCCAAACCTCCCAGACACGGACTGATCCAGTCCTACTGTATGGATCAGAAACTTGGACATTATTTGTTCGTCTTGAAAGACGACTGGATGTAACATATACAAATCTGCTTAGAAAATCCAGAACATCAGCTGGAGATCCCATGTAATGCTTAACACAATTTACGGAGAATTGGGACCAATTTCACTTAAGTGCAAACAAAAGATTACAGTTTGCCAGTGGAGGAGTGGGGAGGGGGTCGTTTCATCCTTACTTGGATATTATCTGTTCATCTTGAAAGATGACCGAGCAGTGTGGAAAAGGATTTTTAATGGAGTTCTGATCAACCAAAGGAAGGTTGAAGGATGATGATGATGAAAAATGCAACACCGAACGAAATTCAAAGATCAGTTGTCCATATGTATATTTTTTACATAATGTTGAAAGAACGGCAAGAACTGACCACCACCACAAAGACATAAGTCATCTTGTGTAACTAGTTTTTCAATGTGAAACTGATTTTTCTATCTATGAGGATTTTCCTAAAATGTTCTGATTGCTTTTAAAAGGACAAAAATTAAATGACTGATTGATTAGTTTGTTTTTTATTTCACAACTTATCAACCTTTTTATTTAAAGCCAGAATATATTTTTAGATTGTAAGAATTTTTTTAGAGATAATAATGATTTACTAATACAAGTCCTACTAATTAACCCATAGCTGGGGGTGAGAAAATGTGCATTCATTCTGTTCCCAAGGGTATTTGCCTGTAAATGAAGATAATAATTGGAATTGGGACTTAGATCTCTAGTTTCTAATTCTGAGCTTTTATCCATTATGCCATCTGAACATCCCAAGCGGTCACCCATCTAGGTACTGACTAGGCTTGACATTGCTTAACTTCAGTGATCATACAAGAATCAGTGTTTCAACAAGATATGGCCATAAGCCATATACCACCTGCACATCCAAGGTTACAGCACGTTGTATTCTCAACCAGTCACCCATCTAGGTACTGACCAGGCTCAACATTGCTTAACTTCAATGATCATAGAAAAACTGGCATTTCAACATGATATGGCCATAAGCCACAAGAATTAAAGGTTGATTCTCACATTAAGCCCAACAGGCTCGGAATGCTTGAGATAATGATAAACCGATAGCAAAAAAAGTCATACTTACAGCCAGAGCAGTCCCCATTATTCCTCCTCCAAATGCACAGGTACCAAAAATCCCAAAGACACTGTTCCGTACACGGTCAGGAAACCATTCTCCAAGAATCTTCACACAATTTGGCCAGCACTGAGCCTTAAAATAAAACAGAAAATTATGAAAGACAAAATCAAATTCAGCAGCTACTTATATTTTATATTCATTACTAATTCAGTATCCACAACACCACCTCCTGTTGCTTCGATGGTGGGAAAAATGATCAAATTTCAAATCTAAATTGTTTGTCTATTTTGAAATAATACATTTATTAGAAAATTTGTTTGGTTTAATATGTTTTACAGCATATCAACCTCAATAGGTTATTTAATGACAATAAGATTTTTATTGCTGGTAATATTTTTTTTCAAAAGTAATTTTTGGTAATATTTTTTCCAAAAAAATATTGCTGGTAATAATGTATTGCTGGTAATAAAACCTATTTTTACACGTTCTGACCCCAGGTTGGGGCTTAACTATTTGCCCATAAATCAAACCCTAAAGGTGCTACTACCCCAGGTCAGAGTGGACCTGGGAACACCAGCAATTAAGAGGTGATTCCACGCTCCTCAAAACCTCCTGATCAGAGACCTTGCTGTCGGATGTAATTTATCGTCTTACCCAGGACACGTTTTGCTTTTGTCTCCAACTTTATATTTTTTTTTGCTGAGGCCAGGGTAGGGTTTGTCCAGACTAAGTGGGAGTGGAATTTAACATTCCAATGTTTTATTTTAAACTCAGTTAAAATGTGTTTTTGCATATGGGTGTAGCCACTTGTGTATACATTGAATGGTAGAAGCATGTCTAAGTCACTTATGCATAATAAACATATACATAACATACGCACATGCAAAGTCACACACAGACAGTGGCAGACCTACATTTTGGGGGCACTAAAGATTGAACAGAAAAACCAGCAGCAATATGACAACATCCAACAAGATGAGTGCTATAGGGAAAAATGGTGATGAGAGGGGGGTCAAAAAGTGCAGTGCAGTGCTCACAGGCAGGCCAGTGATTTTTTCTTCTTCTTCAGTCGCCTCATGGAAATGGATTGCGTGGTTCCCTTTCTCAGATGTTACACTGGGCAGTTGTGAAACAGATACCAGCTCAGCCGCGCCTACTTCGACTTCCTCTGTCTGTCAATCCGTATGTCCACTCTATTGCACACAGTCCACCGAATGACTTTGGTTCTCTCATGTTGCTGGCACCCCACTTTTTATGCTATTCCAATACAGCCAAAATTTGCATGTGTGAAAATATGTCTCATTTTAGACAAGATAGGCATGTATAAATTGCATCTTCATTAGTGGCCATATTTCTTTTAGTCATCACTTTGCAGGCAAGACATGTTCGCACTCATTTCGAATTCTGAGGTAAGTCATGTCTTTCATCACAAGTGCAGCCTGAATTGAGAATTCAGATGTCATTTTATGGTTCCAGTTGACACTAGCGTAAGGGCTGAGCAGTAGAGCTATTAAATTGAACACCAACAAAAAGGATTCAAGGATCCAACTGCCAAACTGTAGGCTACGAATATATTCTGACAAGCTCAACAAGCCCATACAGCTGCTAGTTCAGGTATTGCAAGCCCACAAGAAAATTTTGAAATTTGATCAATTACAGAATTTACAGGCCATATGAAATGTGCATTAGAGCTACCAGTAAAAACAGATTTGAGGATCAAGCTAACAAAATGTAGACTGCAAATGGATTCTGGCAAGCTAATCATGCTTATACAGTTGGGGTTCAGGCATGCAAGCCCCCAAGCAAATTTTAAAAGGGAAATTTTGACGCTATAAGAAATGTCTATTAGAACATATTCTAAGGCCAAAATTAGCTACTTCAACCTATTGACTTATGATTCTATCACTAAAATAGCTTTATTTTAATAAGAAACACTTAAACAAAAAACATTGATTTTGTTGAAAACTTAAATTAAAAAAAAAAAAAAAAAAAAGCTGTATTAAGGGCCCTCTGGAATTAAGAGCCTTCAAGCTTAAGCTTCATCAGTATCATAATATATCCACCATTTAGACAGTCATATAATTGGAGGAGAAGGTATAATTGTGGGGATAGATGAAACAAAATACATCAACAAGGATAATAAATTTGTAAGGGTTCAGATAAGCAAATCCCCTCAATTTTTTTTCTTTAATTTATAATAAAAAAGTTTTGATTATCCTATACTATTTTTACAGAAATAAGCACATTTTGTTTTGGCTTCCATGGTTGTGGGGGGTGGATTTACAATGAATTTGCATAGCATACTGGACCCCGTTATTAACTTATATAAAATTTAATAATTCATAAAAATTGATTATCTTTAGTTGCAGTCCCTACTCCATCATTCATTTTTTTTATTCAAGCATGTGAAATTAACAAACACAAAAAAAAAACATTGATTTTGTTAAAAAAAAAATTCACTCATTAAAAATAGTTGCCTCAGCAGTCGCTCTGAGTCTATGATGCTTGAGCTTTTTTTAGTTTCATAGTAGATTCGCCACTGTACGCAGACAGTGTGTTACAGACGAGGAATCAAGTTTTTCTTCTTTTTTTTGTTATCAGAGAAGAAAACACTTTCTGAGCTGTGAATTTTGTTCATTATACAATTTTTAAACTAAACAGGACTAAATAAAAAAAACAAAAGTAAAACCAAAACATGTCCATATTTGACTAACAATAAAATGTATCCAACTTTACAAAATGATTTTAACATTTTTTACACCATGAAAGCATTGTAAGTCTAAATTGTTTTTACGAGCCAAGTAAATGAATGTATATTTTTTACATAATGTTGAAAGAACGGCAAGAACTGACCACCACCACCACCAAGAAAGAGGAAACTTGGTAATCCTTATCCTTTGCAGCTACAAAAAAAAAACAAAATGTCAAAAAGATGCTTTTTCCCTAAACGCTACTATTATTTTAACTACCTTCACTCCTTGGCAATGTTTTAAAGAGCAATGATTAGAATTCATTCATTCATTCATTTACATAAGTGTTATGTAGTGGTTTAACAGTGGAGGCTTGTATTTGTACTAAGTCGGTCCTAAAATAGGTTCAATATACAAAACGTTAGGAACTTGATATAATAGGTAATGACGCAGTAATCTAGTTGGAGGTGGCCGATACTTCAATATCCGACTAATGGTCGTCCGACATTGACTGACTGACCAACTCACTGAGCGACTGCTACTACTACTCCTACTTATTATTATTATTATGGGAGAGTCTATTAACTATAGAATAGGTGTGTTCCATTATAACAATAAGCTTGTCAGGTAATTGGTTCACAGCCTTCCTCTATATCTCTTGCCCTTAATATGCCCCCATGAGGGTTAACTTTTCCAAGCCTTCCTTCCTCATTATGTGTTCAATGAATTCCAGCTGTTTTTTTCCTAATTCTGTAGAATTGTTTTTTTTTCTGTTACCATTTTCTTTAAGACTTTCTTGTTGCTTACAGGCTCCATTCTTCTGTAAAACCCCATTTCTGCTGCCTCAATTTATTCTCCTCATCAGTAGGGAAATCGTCCAGACCAAACTAGTCAACTATTATCTATCCTACATATCCTCACAATCTGCACTTTTTACTTCTCTACAACAACCTCATTCAGTAATTCTCTACCTTTGAGTGGCTCTTTGGCCTTGCATTCTGCAAACAATAATGTAAAAAGAGAAAAAAAAAAAAAAACTAACCTGGGCGGCACCATTGATGAAGAGTAGAAAAGCAAACACATAAAAATTACTCCAGAATCCAAAACTGACCTATATCAGAAAATATAAACAATAAAAACATTAGTTATATTTCCATTATCAAAAAAAAAATTGATTTTATAAGCACAGAATGTATATTGTCAGATAGAGTTTTACTTTTTTACTTGGACAAATAGTTTTGTTGGAATGTAGTTTAAAAAAAATAAAAAGTGGGGTGGCTAATTAACAGTACACATGGGTCACAATTTTAGCACTGTAATGTACTATTCTTTATTCTTGGAAGGATTTATTATCGGAATTTTATACTCTTTTTATAAAAATCAATTTTTTCTAACCATCCTAACAAAATTAAATTTACTTTGCATACCAATGTACAAACTAAAAAAGAAAATACCTAAGTTTGTGCTCTTCAACACAAATGGACAGAGTTAACACCAATTAGTAGCCATTCTACTGAATCAGTCTACCAAATGGGTTTATGTTAAGAGCTTTAGTTTTACACTAGTGTCAAAAAGGTTGACATATATTCAGCTTGCACTTTTCGTAAGTAGTCTACATATGCACTTTTCTTAAGAGGTTGACATACGGCACAGGTACTTTTCTTAAAAGGTCGACACACAGTGCACGCATTTTTATTAAGAGGTCAACACATGGCACACACACTTTTCTTAAGAAGTTGACACACAGCACATGCACTTTTCTTAAGAAGTTGACACACAGCACATGCACTTTTCTTAAAAGGTCGGCACACATACTTTTAAGAGGTCAGCACATGTGCTTTTCTCAAGAGGTCAGCTCACGACACACATACTTTTCTTAAAAGGTCAACATACTTTTCAAAAAGGTCAATATACATCCAGTTTATACTCACATTTGATCAGGTTTATACACAAGTCTGTAAGAATCCACTGGCAAGTGACCTTTTGCAGGGAGTGGAGGTGTTCTTACCCACCCACCCCTGCAGGGCAAGAAATAAATAGTTGGCTAATAAAAGGATGCATTTCAAAATATTCCATGCCAATGAAAAAGATAATGTGAACAAAACGGTTGATCCAAGACTCACCATTGAGAGGCCTGATAAAATCAAACAGATTCCAAGTGTTTTCCTAGCACCAATTTTATCTCCGATGGAACCAAGAAGAATCTGAAATTAAAAGAGTAAGGAATTCATGGTTCTGAAGAGGATGAAAAATTAAGAAATCAGTATTGTAATCATTTACCAGTTATCTACAGTCACTGAGCCAAGTGATTAGAACGTTTACATTTTGACCATGAGACCCGGGTTCAAATCTCACCATGGTTGATTTGTCAGGAAGGAGACTTCTTGATGTTATTGGACTGGAGGGGTCGATCCCAGCATGTGGCACCTTTGGAAAGTGCCTGAAAACTAAACTCCGGGTTGACCCAAGCCTTGTGAAGGAAACTGGGTAGACGGAACTCCTGGGGGCTGGTGATAGCTGTGCTACCATGACGTCACAAGTCAATGTGGCGGAGTGTTTGAGCGTGCAGGCCTTGTTCAAATTGTTGACCATGCTAGATAACACGCTCTTTCCCAGAAACTGTACAATAAACACAAATACATCTGAGAAAGCATCTGCAATAGGGATTGGCTAGCCGTCCTAGTAGACATCCTCGAATACGAGTGGCCAGCTATACAATATAGTCACTGAGATAAGTGTAAAATATTAAAATAACCTCAGGCTTAAATCTGAAATTGTTATATAGACAAGAGGCTGTGAAAAGTTATTGGCCCAATTTTTACAATCCCTAAATAAAAAGTAAAAAAAATTTAAATTAAAAAAAAAAAAATAGATAACTTTTCTGTCTAAATTTGTGGGATATAGTGTGAGAATTTTTTCTCACACAGTTCAACCCTTGGCAGAGACAAGAAAAGACATACAATCAACAAGGCCTACCTTAAAACTTAAAGCAAATTTTATTGCATCCTTGCAAAAAAAGATTATGCCCTTTTTTGCCCCTGTGAACAGGGTGGGGTAGTTCTTCAAAGAATAGGTAGTGACTTTTCCTTCTGTAGGACTCAATTGGTCTCTACGAAGTTGGAGAAGCAGGAACTTGCAGATCGTTGCTGAAGCATTACCATTTCGGTTGCTGAAGTTGAAACTCGGCTATTGTCGAGACCATGCAGAAAGTTCTTCGTGTTGAACGTACACCTTTGACGACAATCAATAAACTGACTGAATTATACAGCCTTGAAAGTATTGAAGAAGCTGGAACATGACATCGTCGCAGGAGCAATTACCTTTTTGGTTGCTGAAGAAGAATCATTGCCTAATTATTTAGGCTTGATTTTGGGCGCTAAAGGCCCTGCAAAGAGATTCAAAAATGAGTCCGGACATTCCAAAATTTTGCAGCAACCGACTCAAAAAAGGGCATGGGCCGTTTAAAAAATGCCCATGAAAAACAAAGTCAAATTCGACCAATGAGATTGGTCATTACATTTTAGCCAATAGGAGCTTAAATTGCAGAATTTCTCACAGTAGAGTTATCATTTATTTACCCAATTTACATGCTGATTTTTGTCTTCCACAGTTAGTGCTTACCCTTTAACCCACAAGGTTATTCTCCAGAGACTATAGCCATAGTAATTGTGAGTTCAATCCCTGGGCTGGGCAGTATGAACTTGGACTCAGTAAAAATGGGCAGTACTAAAATTAAAAACTAGATGAGATATCCCGAGACACTGGCAGTGGAATGAGAACAGCCCATAGATTAAATAAGGAGTTCAGTTTGAAATTCCATGTAGGTTACTGCTGTCATTGCTCACCCTGCTTCCACCGAGTCCACATTCCCACTGCCCGCCACAGGGATTGAACTCGTGATTACTATGTCACTAAGTTCACAAACCGATGTTTTAATCCACACTAATAGCCGTGGGATAATTTTGTGTAATTGTGAATATGATCCAAGGTGGAAGTTGGTTGGAGTAGAAAAAGTTAACTGACAGTGAAGTGGAAGGTGTGTGCATTCCCCAGTGCGGGGGGTGGGGGGGGACACTTTTCTCCACATGCGACCTACATCATCAGAGAAAAATAGAAAAGAAAGAACGATAGTCACATCAATAATAGCTAGTACTCTGGTATATTTGTGTTTGTTTGAAAATTTTTTGGGGGTGGAGTGTGGTGTGTGTGTGTGACTTAGCGAGATGAAAATTGGTGTGTGGTTAAAGTAAAAAATGAAATACAGCCTTTCCTAGCCCAAAAGACTAGAATGCTCTAAAATTGAAAATGGTGCCATGTCTATAGATCATAACAATTGGCCACAAATGGTTACACTTGAGAGGAAAAGGGGAAAAAAAAGAAAAACTTAAGGAGTGAATGTAAAGTGGGGTAATAATGAAAATGATCCCAACACATACAGTCACATGAACACGCATCTGCACAGATGGGTCTATGGCTGCACATGTGCAAATGCACACACGAATACAAACAATACAGAAAAAAAATTACATCAATGATGAGTGCATGAAAAAGAAATAAAAATATAAGCAGTCAATTACTGAAACCCTCTGAAGAGTGGACGGACAAGTCCGCCTAGAAAACCCTGGAGTCATGATGCTGAAGGTAACATCATATATATATATATATATATATAAAATTCGCAGATAGTACTATCACAGCTCCTCAGTGCAGCTAGACATCTGAATGCCTCAAGCCAGGATTGAAACCTAACCAATTTGGTGCCAGTCAGAGTTTCTACCACTGAGCTATCTTCTTTCTGATGAGAGAAGATAGCTAATTCTAGCGTATTGTTTTACAAATGTAAACAAACACCAATTTGTCAGAGGGCTACAATTCAATTTTTCTGAATAGCTTTGCATTAGCGCAAGTGGCTGTTGTTTATAGAACCAGCTTGTGTGTGTGTGTTTTTATATATATATATATATATATATATATATATGAGCATTAGAAGAAATTAATATTTGGACATATCTGCTTTAAAAATTTTAGCTGTTATATATATAATGACAAGAGGGAATAAATGATATTTTTTTATTAAATCATCACCATTATATATATATATATATATATATATATATATATATATATATATTAAATCATTAGTGGGAATGAAAGTTTTGACATATTGTGACGGGTACACACCTGGCCCAGGGTGAATCCTTTGGTTACGGCGCCAACTGTGACGTCGCTGTTCCAAGTGTGCCGTTCCAACCCCTTGGTTAGATGATCACCAGCCTCGCCTTTCCCAACCCGCTTCCAATACCTGGTTGCTAAAAGCAACTGTACTGATCTCGGTCTGTCTACCCACGTTGTGTTTAGATCTTAGACAGAGCCGGGACCAGCAGGATTGGGCCGTATCCCAAGTTGAGTCCGGCGGGGGTGGCAAAACACAAGTAAAAGAAAAAAAACTCACGAGACAAAAATTACTGATAAAAAAGGGTAACAACCTTTTATATCTAATGTCCGTTACATAAAAATTGTTCTTATTTCCCGACCCGCTTTTGTGGACTATGTCACCAAGCCCCTATCATACAACTTAAAGATTTTGAGCTGTCTACTCTTTAGAATTGTGTATGTCGCCGGTGTGGTTTGGTTCAACACTGGGGCTAATCTCTATCAGTCGTTCGCAGCTGATTCTTCTCTTGGCTTGAGTTGTATTTCTTCACTTGATCTGGTTTGGTGAATTCTGTTCTCGGCTTGGCTTGATTTCAACTTCTTCCATCCAGCAACTCTTTTCTGTCGACTGAGGTGGAACTGATTTGCTTGTTGGGTCTGCAACTTTACTTCTTGTCTGGCCTGCAACTCTTGGCCTGTCTTTGACTCGGCTGCAACTTCTCTCGGCTTTCGAGCAATCTTCTTCTTCTTGGGTGGAAGGATTTCTTGTCTTAGGATTCTCTTGCTTAAGGGGAGGAATGAACCGGACCCGATGCCCCAGCGTTCCAACTGTTCTGGTCGTCTAACCGCAACTCAGCCGCAACTGATTTTCTTTCGACTGGGGTCCTGCTTTTATTGACGCTGCAACAAACCGGGGTGGGTTTGCGGCGTCAGGGGTTTCTCGATAATTCCAATAGCCGCATTATTTCTGTTTTCCCATTATCGCTATTATTTTCACCCCTACTTCCTCACAGTGCCTCTGGGGAGGGAGGACGCCTACCCATCTCTCCCGGTCTCTCGTATGTCAGGTGACCGTTTTTGACCAATGGTTCCTGATCGAGCATTCCTCCTCCTCCTTCCCACATGCCCGTGACCGTTTAGACCAATGGTTCTTGATCGAGCATTCTCCTTCTCTTTCCGCATATCCGTGACCGCTTCGGCTAATGAGATTGTGGTTGGGCGCCTCCCACATATGTGACGGGCGTGGCTTATACCGTTCTTGTTCAAAAAAAACAAAAATCTAACTTGGCCTTTTTTCGCACGTCTGAAAAATGATAATCTTGGCTTTTTCTCACCTGGGTTCTGTCAAAACAGCCTGCCGCTAATTAGATATGACTTCAGGGAGGATTGTTTCGCCTTTTGGCATCCTGTGTGAGCCAAAAGCAATTGTCTTTTCACCCTTTGTATTTGTTCAGACCCGATAGACAAAAATCTTAATTATCTGAATTGAAAATGTCTTCGCTTCATCATCGTGGGAGTCTGATCCTTAACAGGTCAGAACCTGTATACAATTCAGCGGTCACCCCTCATCCCAAAGACACCTTTCCTCCGATTAAAATTTCGTTCCCATTGTTCTAAAATTCCCTTTCTCCAAATTGATAATGAGTCTCTCTACATTTAAAAGTCGGTCATGTGCTCCGACCAACATTTTTATCAATCGCCTATCGTCTTATCCTTTCTCCCTCTAAATGACTTTCCCTTCTAAATAACATTTTTCCATTGTCTCTCGAAAATCGGTCAAGATGTTGGCCTAAATACCTTTCTGATACCTGTTTTCGCTAATAATTTGTATTTCTCGACCTCTCTCTTTTCTTCCCTGTTCCTTCCTTTTTCTCTTCCTCTCTTTTCTTTTTCTTTTAGGATCGTCTAAGTACAACTTAGTGAATTATTTTCAACTCAATTATTCTTCGTCTAAGAAAAAAAACTAACAACTGGTTAATAAACCGAGTAAAAAAAAATTAAATCATATTTCTATGAATATTTCTAATAATGCAAGGTGCCACATATTTGT